GCCCATCTCGTGTTTTTAATGCGACTCCAGAGAACCATTCGAAAGAGCAAAGCAAGCTCTACAACATGTTGTGCAAAATTTTGCACCGGTTTTGACCTACCGTAAGTTTGCACCCGGACTGTGAGTCGTAATGAAGTCTCAAAAATGGGGGGAAATTCATATCTTTTATCGAATAAAAAACCTACGGATCCCCAACTTGCTTACACTGCATACTAAATCGGACGCTTAAATGCACCGCTTCTGCATTTTTTCCTAATATAGAAATTGAGAAAACGAAAATTTTTAAGCTGAAATAAAAACGAAGATGTTTTTACCCATGTAGTTGTATACTTCAAGCCCTTAGAAGTATAACCGTAAAATTTTAGCTTTCCACAATCCCTAGTTGTCGAGAAATATTGATTTTAGTATGGAACACCCAAGTGGGGAGTGCTACATTCGGTAATTTTCGAAAATGAGGGCTTGTGAAAAACTGAAAATCTACGGCTATACTTCTAAGCGCTTGTAGTGAACAATGAAAACAAAAACATGACGGAACAGCGCAGCTCCGTTTTTGTGTAAGAATAAAAATGTTTTCTTGATTTATAGATGAGGAAGAAATACAGGAACGGCACATATGAGTGTTTGATGAGGTGTGCAATTTGTGTGAGCAAGTTGGAGGCCGTATTTTTTGAACGAAGATATGAATCTTTCCCGATTTTTTAGCCTTCAGTACACTCAAATTCTGAATGCAAACCTACTATGGGTTGAAACTGGTGCGAACATTTGCACAACATCTTGTAGAGTTTGCTTTGCTCTTTGAAAGGTGCTCTGGAGTCTTATCAAAAATACAAAGTATGCGACTACTGTTATAAGATATAGTGTAGCAAGGCTCAAGTTACAACCTAATAGAATTGTCAGGCATTTTTGGAGCAGGAAATATGCTTTCAAACCAAAAGCCTAGTGAAAGGCACCGTCCACCCGAATTCCAAGAGCCGCTGCAAAAGATGATATCGAAGCGAGAAAGCCGCTCCAGAAGATAGTCCCAGGTGGCTTCGTCCGTAAAAAGGGATGGTCTGTAGGTAACAAATAAGTCCAAACTTGAGCCAAGGTACATGGAAATGCCGGAGATCTGATGATAAAAGAGGGCGGATTTATGCCAATCTTGGTTGCATCAAAGCTTAACTGTGTACTTGTTACTGCCCTCAGATGAGCGGAGCAAGCTGGGCCTCTTCTATCTTCTGGAGCGTTTTCACACTCCGAATTCATATTCTATGGTGGGTGGGTTGCTTGAGGGCCTTTATTATATCATTAAAAAATTATCAGCCTCAATCTGGGTGGAGGTGCTTTTACCCCATGTGCTGCCTTCTATTATTTTATGACCCTTACAGTGCTAGCGAAACTGTTGGCGCGAAATCTCTTTGGAGTTTCTGGGAACAAATGCCGGGAAAATTGTGCTCCCATGCCCCTCTCGACTTGTCTGTTTTTGGGATAATAGAAACTGATTAAAGTTTCACGCTGCGTATCGAACGACTTGCTTTCTTCCGGTAAATATACTTTTCATTTTATTAAATCACCAGTGCGTCACCTCTGCTTCGCAGAGGCTCGCACTGGCCCTATTTTCTGTATGCCTTACTCATTCCCGCATAATTTTGACATTGAAACTCACCGCGCTATGTAAACTATCACGAATAATTCGTAAACAACTACTCATTCGTAGAGGTTTTCCATGTGAGATCGGTATTTTCGCGTGGATAAAATCTTTCCCAGAAGAACAGATGCAAATTAGAATAGGTTTTTGGATTTTTTATGGCTTGGTAGTCGCCGTAAGGACAATAAACATAGTGGGCTACATCTCTATGCAAAAATCTTCTCAAATGAACAGGTAAAATCTTGAAAAATTGACCGTTTACACAGCGAATGCTTTTTGGCGCTGTTTTCGTAAAGTAGTAGACTTTTCATTACTTTTTTAAGCTAACGTCCATGGCTTGCACATTAGCTTGTCAAATATATCCTTAACTCTGCAAAGAGTAGTACTACGGACCCAAATTTGCTGGCCAGAAGCCAAGTGGATCCGTTTGACGCGCAGTTTTCAATGGATCCACTTAACGGATCCGCTCATGCTTTTGTATAATGAGCTTTCATGCTGGTAGCGTGCGCTATGCAAAATTTGGGCTTAGGACGTTGGCTGGAACACGCTCTACGAATTTCGTGACAGACAGAGATTCACACACACACAGACAAACGTAAACAACCCTTAGCCCGTTATTATAAGTTATGATAACTGCTAGGGCAACTTAGCTGGACGAGTGGCGTAATTAGAAGCTGTCAGGAATCGAAAAAAGTTCGAATCTCGCTCATGAACCAGTTTTCTTATCTCTAAAAACCGTAAAATGGTCAGAGTAATCTGGGAGGGTTGACGCACTGGCTTGGTGACCGCCTGGCCCTTACAAGTCATGTTAACGATTCATCCAATAGTCTCTTAGTGTACGAATCAAAACGAGTTCGTGTTGCGCCTGCAGGGGACATTGAAAACGTGTACTCTCTGTCCTTCATAGGGAAGTAGGTGTGATTGCTTATCTGTTGTAAATAATGTACATATGTTCGCATATAGCTCAGAATTGCTTATCGAAATCTCCACTGCTCAAACCTGCATCATGTGCTAACTAAATTCTATAGTCGAGTCATTTCATAAGATCATGTGTGTCATTGCACACACTGCATTGTCGACATTTGGTTTTCCTATCTTGGATTTTAGCAGCAGGCACCCCTTCAGGAGTTTTCAATGTTTCGAATTCTCTAATTTCCACAGAAATAATGTAAGCGACAAGGTTCGTCACTCTTTTGCGTTTTCATGATTGCAATCCAGAATGGGAATGCCAAAGATGAACGTTGTGGGTAGATTACATGTCCTCTTCTGTTTGAACTTCGGCATTGATTTGATGAGGTGTTAGTTAATAGATATGCCAACACGAGGTTTTTTGGTGAAGCTTTATTAGTAGAGTGGCCTTACGTTTCGAAATCAGTCGTCGTCTTCAGAGCCTAAAGTGGAGCGAGATTGATGATCATATGCCTATACCACCAAACGCCTTGTCGACCCCGGCTAGTATTCGATCCCCTCTATGATTTCACAAGCAAAGGCCCCCAAAATGAAAAGACGAGCTGACCGTGGCTCCACTGCTGTCGCACTTCTCTGTGTAAGTAGTGCAAATTATCCATACAAGGTATCGAGCAACTGCATTACTTCTCTGTAGCTCACATAAGGAATGAACGGCAGGAAATCACTCGTAGCTGCCGAGCATTCATTCCTGTTGTTCATGGGTGGGTTCCTGTTTGAGATCCACAAGGCATCGAGAGCTTTCCGCGCAGCTATGTCAGCCTCGTAAGCCAAAATCGAGCATTGAACTTGATAGTCGTAATCACCATGCTCGTCGTGCTTATGCCTTCCGAGAGGTGAAGTCAGACTACTTTTTCTTTTATTCGCTAGATGTTCTTTCATTCTCACACCAAGTGCACATCCGGTTTCTCCAATGTACGTAGCGCAACATGTTAAACAATCTATCTGATATATACCCCGGTTTTGGTGCAATCAGACATTGTTATACGGGCAAATCACACAATCTTTCGAAATGCAGTATTTGTCGCATAGCCTATTTCGCACAAGCCGTTTCTTGATGTTATCGCTTGAAATGTTTACGAGAATGATATCATCGCGCAGCTCTGCTCGCTCGATACTTTTCTGTACAGCACTACTGACTTCGTCTGAGATGAAAGGTAGACAAAGTGTTATTCTGTTATTGTGCTGATCACTGCTTTCCTATTTTTGTAATATACCGTGCCTATACTGCACTTGGTAGCCATTACTCCGAGCAATGTTTAACGCCATAGCACCGGACTCTGTCCGCTCTTTATCTCCTGTACAGACTTGCGCTGCTGTTCTGAACATGTTTCGTACAACCGCATGTTTAACAGCAGAAGGATGAGAGGGTTGAGCGTGCAGTAAGATGTTCTTTGTTGTGGGTAATACTCACACGATTGTATTAGATGACTCGACTGCATGCTGTTCGGCACTCAACTTTTTTTTGAACGGGAAATGCAACGTTAAGATGCTTTGGATTAGCAATAAAGTCAGTCAGAACAAAAAACCGAATAGCGGCATAAACGGTAATCAGTCCGGTGTCCTCTGTGTAGATTTACCACGCCTACAATCTAGTCATCTCGTATGATCATATTTATATCCACCCTGAAGTTCATTTATAAAATCGTGACAACGGAATTTACTGCGGACTTTGCGCGTACAGAAGCATAAAACGCTTATACAAGAAGGCAGCATTTCAACGTCCAGCTCAGTCACTTCCAAAATTTAAATAATAACATATTTAAGCAAAAAACTCATTTACTGGAGATGAAAACGAAGAAAACGCGATTTCCGGAAGTGACGTGCGTGTCGCGAGCGGTCGGGACATCGTCACGATTTTTTGAATGTCCTATACAACCTTTATGGTGTCCCTCGTAGTGGAAAATCAATGCTTTACTGTAGTGAACATTGTTACATTTCATTTTTATACATATCACAGTTGAAGCAGATGCGATAAAGCGTAAAAACCTCAACAAAACTAAAGATGATTTACATACAGCTACACACGCACGCAGCTCACAATCAAAATCCGAAGAGGCTCACAAGAGATTTCAAAAGACTTTCCTAGGCGGACAATATAAAGGCTGGGTAACTTGGCACATACAGTATAAGAATGTGAAAGAGATATGTGTTGACAAAGAAGAGTGACTGGCGTGTTATCACAATGACAGTAAATGAAGGTATTATTTTACTTGAATCGGTTTAAACCCGCGTTCGCGCCCGCTTCGCGACGATAAACGATCCACCTTGTGCGGGAATAGCCTCTGGAATTTTTTGTGCTGTGCAGCAAAATTCAAAACATGACCAAGGCAACATTTTTAAGTCATTGCATTAATCACAAACTTATCTCCAATGCAAAATTAATGTAAACAGAAGTTTTTACAAATTATTTCTTTTGACGAATAGAGTCCGATCTGTAAACATCATTTATTTTGTAGACTCTGCTGTCTTTGTACAGTCTCCGCTTTCCTAAGCACACTAGGGCTGCGATTACTGTGTCGACAGCGGCCAGCACAAGAGCGCAGATCGACAGCCAGAATGGCTTCTCTGTAAACAAAGTCTGTCTGATAGCAAACTCCGTAAGGCCAAATGAGTCAACCAAGCGAAAAGGTATTCTGAACTTACTTATACTATCTTTGTTGTTCACTCCATAGATGATCACCGCAATCAGAAGCATAATGGTGGCAATGAGCGAAAGAATAACCAACGGACGTGTCAGATACTTTTTGCAGCAGCATGCAAAGCTGAAGTTAGGAGGTTATAAGTTATTAAAGAATAGATGTTGTAATCTACGCTAGCAGTAACAGCTAGCGCTTTAATGTGAATAATGTTAAAAAAAATAGATTACAACTTTTTGGGGTGCTCTATTTTCACCAGTTCGTTTTCTGATGGTCAATTCGAATTTTGTTGGGAGAAAATCATTTGCTCAAGAGCATCTCAGGACTCTCTCGTGGACGCTGATCGTAAAAATGAGGAAGAAAGATTTTTAAAGCATTTATTATGTTGAAATAATGCCGCCAAAGTATGAAAAGTTGCAAGGAATCTGAATCTCACAGCAGTTTCGATTTTGTGAGCTAATCATTCCAACCGAGCAAAGTTTCTGCGGTCAAATTCGCCTTATATGAGTAAAAAGACAAAAACCACAAATTTTTCAGTGGGAAAGAGTAGGTCGCAATCCTACGGCACTGATGATTTGACTTTATTGCAACCTTCAGATTTCTTTGGTAATCATTTCAATAAGATTGAGGAGAGCGATTTTTTGTATCCATTTCCTCAACGTATAAGTCAAAATAATTGCCCTGAGATTTGAATAATTATAGATACCATTTTTGTATGGTCTGCCAAGAAAAAGCTCCAGTTTTATCGTCGATTCATGACACGCAAAGACTGAGCGCCGTTGCGTCCGACCGAGATAGTTTGTGCATAGGAGAGACAGCAGATGGTAAGAGAAACGAAACAGCGCTCGATCATGGAGACGCTGATAGCTCCGCAGTCTTTGGTGCTATGAATCGCCTGTATGTTTCAGGTGGAGTTTGGAGGCAGAATGTAAATTTTTTTCAAATGAATCTCTGAAAAAAATCTATATTAAAATTATTATTATTTTCCTTTGCTAATATCATTTTTTAACAAGTGCTGTGAACTTACAATGTGAACACATTCCAAGCCAGAGCAATTATTTCGAAGAGCAATGCCAAGCACATGAATATCGCTACAGTTTTCAAATAGCCCTCATGATCCTAAACAGATATCCAAATAACTCACGAGGGAACGATCCCAACTTAAGGTGGCAAGTTGGAATGAACCGCATACCATTAGAAGCGTCTTGATGAGCTGATTTCAAATCTACCATCCATATCTGCGACAACGTTATTTGCAAAAAGTTATGAGCGGTTGAAAATGTGAATTTATCGGGGTTTCAATGCATAATGTGCTTCAAAATCCGACTTGAAAGTGCACGACTAGCATGATATTGAGTGTACTGATTTCACGGAATGCTCACATTCTGAAGAAACACAAATAAGTGTTTTTGAACAACTAATTTTCGAGAAATGGTGCTGTATATTTGCCAAATTTGGATTTTTCATTGCTCATAGCTTTTACAGAGAGCTTTAGTTGCTTTTTAGTTATTCAAAAACACTTATTTGTGTTTCTTTTGAATGTGAGCATTCCGTGAAATCAGTACACTCAATATCATGCTGGTCGTGCACTTTCAAGTTGGATTTTGAAGCACATTATGCATTAAACCCAATAACTTCACATTTTCAACCGCTCATAACTTTTTGCAAATAACGTTGTCGCAGATATGGAAGGTAGATTTGGAATCAGCTCATCAAGACGCATCTAATGGTATGCGGTTCATTCCAATTCGCCACCTTAAGTTGGGATCGTTCCCTTGTCAGAGACTTGATCACTGGATTTCGTCACTTACCGTTGAATCCTCACAATTCTTGATGTCTTTTATACAACCCCATTTGAGCATCTCTGGAAGATTTTGGTAGATGAGGGATTATTGAAAATTCAAGAAAAACTTACTCCCATTGAATGTTGGGACAGCTGTGAGTATTAAGCAACCGACCATCACAACTCCAAAGACAATTTGACCACATGCTGAGAAGATGCACATTTTCTGAAAATGTTTCGTTTTAAGTAACAAAATGATATTTTTGACACTACGTAAAGGGCGAATTGTGGTAGTGGCCTTAAATCAATGGGGAAATCAAGGGACACGAAAATCAATCCATATTTTTTGGAGTATCAAACGAAGTCTCGAAAAAGAACATAAATAACCAGATCTTATTACGAGCAGGTGTCGACGCTGTGAAAATTTTAGTAGTCTCTAAAAAGGTTATGACCAAATCTCAGAGTTTATGCATACGGAAAAAAGGTTTCCAAAATAAAAGTTGCTTTCGTTTATTCAAAAGTAATACCCCCTATACTTGGGTAATTCGAAAATTTTTCATCGAATGAATGAATATCGAATAAATTCAAAAATAAAAAAACTCAAATAAACGAATATCGAGTAAATTCCAGGTTCAAAAATTCTCGAATGAATGAATTCCGAATAAATTCGGAAAATCAAGAATATCGAATGAATGATTATCGAATATATTCGAAATTGGAAGTCGAATTTCGAATTGAATATTCGAATGATTTATCAAATTACTAGAGCAATCATACCTCAAAATTGCTGACTTATGTGGCCAAAGCCGATCCATTCATAATCAGCACCCTCGCATCCCCTATACCAACTTACCAACTTCTAGCTCAAAATTTCAAAAGTCGCTAAAATCGATAAAATAGACTTCGGTTTTAATCAGCATCCTCATTTACCCCCTGTACCAACTCTCAACCTCGCAGCTCAAGATTTTCCAAACATCGACAAAATCAATAAAGTAAGTTTTAATTCATAGTCAGCACCCTAACTTACCCCCTTGTACCAACTCCCAGCCCCATAGCTCAAATTCTCCAAAAATCGATAAAGTATTCATTTAACGAGTTGTTCGGATTCATAGCGCTAGGTGTGCGAATCTTTGAAGTAGTAACGGTGGCCATATATGTGCTTAAACGCCACAAATGCTACGATACATTGCCTGTTCATCGAAGACTTTCGTCTTGTGTGGTATAAGCTAGCCGTGGACGAAGGCATGTGGTTTATTCCGCGAAGCGAGCACGAATGCCCCTATAGCCCCGGGCATACTGCAGGCATTTCAGTGGCGACGTGGTTTGGCAATCGTCAAATTGTCCAAAACTTATTTTAAAAGTACAGAATGCAGGGCATTTATCTCTTTGGTGAAATGTACACGCTAAACATTTGTGGTAAGCTGGCGTTACATTTGAAGACATCTCGTAACTGGTAAATCGCGTACGGCGATCTAAACCGTTTAATTCTTTACCATAACTGCAATGTCCTTTACTCAAAATACACCAATTCGCAAGTCTAAGGTAGCGAATAGAGGCAGTTGTGCAATTAACTTATGCAAGCAAGAGTGCGCACTAGTGTGGGCATTGCGTACCGCAAGCTTGAGCAATGCAAGAACAGGCATTTCAAAACACTTTCAATATATGAGCTTGGAACATGAGCTTGAATTTGATACCTTCTTTGCATTTTGTGCCAATAGCAGTGCGAATAATCTCATTGATCAAAAAAGCATCAATTAAAGTCCACATATGTTTTTTTTACTGTCAAGCAATCGGAAGAATGTGACCCTCCATACAGTTCAAAGTTCATAACGGTTGCAAAAGATGCATTACCGATTTTTGCGAAAAAATAACGCGGACGAAGTGAGCGTGATACTCAGCAGTTGGCCCTGTAACAAAGTCGAATAATCTGAATACGGATTCATTCGAATACGAATTCGAATAAACATTCGAATAAAACATTCGAATAAAATCTATTCCAAACTCCGTTTTTTGATTATTCGAGTTTTCGAGTTTTATTCGAAACCCCGTTTTCTCAATTATTCGAGTTTCAAATATTATTCGAAAATGGAAAAACTCCGAATATCGAATTTCGAATACGAATATATTCGAATATTTTATTCGAATGATCGAATTTCTATTCGATTCGGACCCAAGTATAATACCCCCCCCCCTCCAGAAACTTTGATCTTTGAAGAAAGGCAGCGACTCGGTAAAATGACAACCTTGATATATTCGTCGTTCTCGGATCCCTTGGACAGCTAAGTCCAACAGTGTGCTTTGCAGCTTCAGAAGTTATCAATAACCCGCTTTTCTAGACATGAAAAGTGCTATGGGCGAATGGCGTAAGCCTGCCTTCTAGTCGCGATTGGCTCGTGAATGGAGACACCGTACCCATCTCTGCGGCAATTGGATTACTGGCTCCAGCAACCACTTTCGCGACCCGCCCAAACATCACTTTTCACGTTCGGGAAGCGAGTTATTGATATCTTTTGAAACTGCAAAACACAGTCTTTAACTTAGCTTATATAGGGGACCGAGAACGATGAATAACCCAAAGTTGCCATTAACCTTCGCTGTCTTTAACATCATGCAGTGCCCTTAAGTATGTGCTTTGAAATTTATAGGCAGCGTCCAGGCAGATCTGGACCTATGGGGCTTTTGCGTGGAAAGTACTATTGGGGCCCTAACTGAGGTACTGCCCAAGCGACAGCGCAGGTAGTGCTCTAACGGCTGAGAAAGCCCCGTCGAAACTGGACCCCGCTATCGTATTCGCATGGATTCATGGCAATTTTGCGCCAGGAATCACGCTTTGCGCCATGAATCCATGCGGAATACGATCGCGGGGTCCAGTTTTGAGGGGAACATCTCAGCCGTTAGAGCACTACCTGATCTGCCGATTGGGCAGTGGGTTAGTTAGGGCCCCAAAATTACTATCCACGTGTGATCCCCATGTGTCCAAACTTGCCTGGACGCTGCCTTTAATTTGAAATTACCATATCACCACGTCAATTATGTATACCGGAGTAATATTTTGATTCAGAATCAATGCACGCTTTCTGTAATTCAACTTCACAACAAAGTACTTTTTTGAAACAATCTTTTTTGGGCCATGAAGGCTGCTGTAAAAAGCAATGCTTTGGCTATAAAACGCATATTTTTGTATAAATGCAGAGTCACAAGAAAGATCAAGGCTATCGTCAAAAATTTGTTCTTGGAACCTCTACTGTGAGAGAGCATAACTTACTTTGAAATGCGGTAAGACAGTGCACTGTAAATATTGTGTAGCCAATGTTCAGTGGAGCAGTGGTGCCAAGGTTGAATTTTACGGTTTTTTAAAGAGAAATATTGCAAAAAGGAAGTGCTCACTTCTTCCTGTTATCTCCGATGCTCAAAAAACTGCTTCTCAAAATTATTCAGTTTTTCTCCGTTGCGTAGAGAAAAACCCTACTTTTCCTCCCATTAAATGAACAAGGTCTACCCTTGCTGTATAGCTACAGGACTGTAATCACCTTTTTGCTTGAAATCTTATGGCTAGTACGGCACGGAAAGGTCGCAACGATCACCCAAATTTGCGATGAAATTTCTTGGCCCAGAATTTTTCTAAAATTCAGTTCAAAACAACGTATTATAGAATTAAACTTCGTTGTTAAGCATTTCTTTGGGTTGCATCGAGCATTTTTTCATGCATTTGGAGCAAGGAGAGTGAAAGAAAAAAATTTTGGGATATGGTCTCGTGTTTTTGAAGGCACAAAACTTTAAGAATTGAAATTTGTGAAAGTGATGGCGTATAATAAAATAGGGTTCGAAAGAAGAGGTAAGGAAAACGTGTAGCTATGGATCAGCCTAATATGTAAGATGTCCCAAAAAGATGTGAACACTGTTTGATCGTAACTTTAATAACTCTCTTGCTTTTACGCTTTTTGCCGAGATTAAGGTGGTACCATTCTGTAGAGCGAGGTCAACTCAGATTTGCAACATGGAACGAATCTCCGAAATTTCTTCATTACTGTAGGATTACAGTAAGAACTTTGAGAAGGATTTTAGGCCATTAAAGGCACCGTCCACCCAAAATCTGGAAAGAAAATCCGCGACACCCCCAAAAATCCCTGTTTCGAGAACCCTCCGCAACAAGCGCAGGCGACCGATAAACAGTGCACATATCATTCTTTATTCATCATTTCTCGTTGATGCTACTGTCCTATAGACTTAGATTCCAGCAATGTGAAGATTCTGTGCTCCGATCGCTAGCCTGTCCGCAGGCGTTAATTCAAATCGCAATTCTTATAAGAGGAAAATAACAAAATAGGCTCGTTTTCAATACACAAGTAACGATATGGCACCAAATTTGCTGTATAGTTGGAGGACCATGAGCATAAAAAAAGTATGAAGAATTATGAGAAACTTATGTGAATTTAAAAAATGGTAAATGTTTTTTGAAATTAGGTGGCTCCCTGCTTCCCTTCACATAATTTCCCGGATTTCTTTACATAAATGTGGACTAGGTCGAGAGTATTACTATATGTTCAAATCCGCTTCCAACACCACCAAGGCACCGCTTCGATACAGCCCCGAATAGGGTTCACAGCGTTATGATCGGCCTCAAAAAGCGCGCTCCAATCGCAATCATTTATTGTAAATTGTAAAGTTTCGCAGCTGACTAATAAATGAGTAGTATCTTAGACATATAAACGTCAAAGTTTGTGCAAATCTTAACCCTATTTTTTTATAGATTCCTTCGCGGATGAACCTATTGAGCTGAAACCTTGAAAACATATGTTTTCGGCCTCGGTAGATGGTTTTAAGCTACCCTTCGAAGCAATTCGTGGAATTCTTCTATCGATTTAATGATTTTCGGCACCTTGCAAGGAAAGCTGCTTGCACATTTTGGTGTGAACAATGCAGTGAAGTTTATTTCCAACATAAAATGCTATAAAATTAGAAGGTACTATACTATAAAATTAGAAGGTGCAGTCACTTCAATAAGCCTTTCTGGGATAAGCTCGTGCAGGAGGGTAAGGGGGAGGGCTGCAGTGCAGCATTGATGCTGCAGAAAAGGGGTGGAGATATGGTTCAAAAGGACAGGAAGGTAGGAGGACAAAGTGTGGTCTTTGGCCATCCCCTCAAACAATGACCCAAGCTGGACCAGGAAAGCCAGGTAGTACTACTATAATGAGCGCTGAGGCCGCCCATCTTATTATTTGTGTATATCTGTTTGTCAGGGACTTACGGGGGTCAAAAATAGGGTCAAAGGGGAAGTCGTAAATTTTGACTTCAAAGGTGATACCGTTTTCAAATTCTGGAATGACACCTCCTGCCGGGCCCTGATTGGTGATTTGCTCCACACTGTAAATCTAAGTTGAACCCCGCTCTACAGGGTGGTACCCTAATCTCGGCAAAAGACATGAGTGGGAGAGAGTTACTGACAATAAAACGGTGTTCACATCTTAGAACATCCTGTATAAGACATTTTATTGTGGAAATAAAGTTTGATACTGGCTTCCTATCCCACAATGTGGGTTATAATGTCATGCAACTCTGTTCTTCTACACATTCGGGCTAATCCTTGATGATAAGGCGTAATGCATTATATTAGCTGCTTTTAGCTAAATACAGAAAAACGTTAACCTAAAGCGTGCATGATAAGAATACAAAAAAACAGATCAAGTGATCGCATAAGTGACTGAAATGTGGAGAGAGAAACTGGGAAACAGAGAACAAGGAACCCATCCACCTCATTATTTCGATAAATAGGAGGTTTCGAAGAGCTAGTCATCTTGAAAATTGCAGAAAAATTATTCATGAGTTTTGCGTCAAGCTTTCTAAACCATTTAGATATGGTAAAAATAATTGTATTTCATTAGATATATTCTAATTCAAATGTAGCGCAAGATATAACTGATGAAAAAACGGTCAATTTCTTTTGTTCGATTGCTATTGACAGGGAATGTGATTTAAATTTTTTCAGTCCCCAAATCAAAGAAAACTCTGCTAATTTGCTGATTTTTAGGTTGTTGCAATTTTTACGCTTTACCTAATCAATTTTTGATTCAACTGGCTGGCGGCTGGAAGGCAGGACTTTGTGACCTGATTAAGGCCGCTAACGCCCGCAACACAGTCTGCGACTCTTCTGCGCGCGTGCTCTCTGATCATTCTCTAGCCTTGACTAGATCACGAAGCCCCGCCTTTCAGCGGCCACAGTTGAAACATAGGGTACAACATGATAGTGAAGTAGACTGATAATTACTCAAAATACTTCCAATATATTCTTCAAAGAATTCATAATGCAAGACTTATGGACCAACGTGATAGAGCATGATACCGCTTTTACTTCTACTACAAATTAATACTGGCCGTTCTACAATCATGCAAATTCGAGACTTTCCTTCAATTTCTTCAAACATTATGTTATTGACTATACTTGAAAGCGCAATCGGATTCCAATCTTACAAAAATTAAAAAAAGTTTTTATGGCAACCGGAGGAAGATCTCCGCTGAGATCTTCTTAGAAGTATTCATTATAATTGCTCTAATCGAATTGTCCTATAAAAAAGGGAAAAGTTTAGCGATGACAGCCGGACCAGACCGATATGCGCAGCTAAGCAAAGCTTACCTTTATCATATCCAAGCCATGTATAAGTTCCGTAACCCTCTTATGGTCATCCGAATCCTACAAAATATGGATTTATAGATTTCAACGTAAGAATTCAATTGTGTGACGACTGTCATGAAAGTGACTTATTCTACCATATACTCACAGAAAACGAACTTACGAAATTTGGAAATTGATGGGTTACGGTGAGGTTTCGCAAAACTGCTTAGAACTGAAAACCTGTATAGCCTTAAAAGATCCAAACAAATGTACCTTAGCCTCTTCAGGATTCTCATCGGTACCAAGGCCCCCCCATCTTTCATTGCCTCGTTCAGCTGAATCCGGAGAGCACTGAGCTACATCTGAAACATATTCTACAGTCCCACCAATTCGGCAGAGCGTAAGCTCGGGCCACCAGAACTGCAAGGAACACAATTGTCTTCAAAGTGTTTGTCGATTATCTCCCAGTCTCCTGTATCCTCACGAAATCCGGGCTCTGTATCGCGTTTTGCAGCAATGCTATCTCCCTAAATTGACAATGATTTGCGTCTGATAGAGTGAACAGCCAGATAAACAGTTCAATCAACTCACATTGATTTGCTCATTGGATGAGGTTTGCAATTCAGTTCCTACTCCATTCATCTCTGCAACTATTTTCGGGTACTTTCGTGGTACAAAAGGCAGATTTGGATAGTCTACAGATTTTCCCATTGCGCGTTCAGTCACCTGAAGGATAAGCAAATTGGTATGCGATCATGTTAAGAATTAGAACAAGCAATGTATGTGGGATACAGTTACCTCAATGGGGAGCACAAACCAGCGCAGATGAGCGTGACGTTCGTCGATCGCAAATCTGCCATCGGGCACAACGGTCTGCAAATATTGAACTCAAAAACAAATCCTCGTTACTGCTGGAAAATTCTTATTCTTTTATTTGAATCACTTTGTATCAAAATTTCAGAACATCTTTTTGCTATCTGCTTGATTTTTTCATTATCTAGTGCAGAAAAGGATGGTAGAGCCGTGACGCTCCCAATCACAAAAAATTTCTAATACCAAAAACAAAATACATAAATGACCAGCATGTTTGTCAGATCAACTCTATAGCAGCATAAAAAAACGCTTTCTTCTCTGCTTCCAAAAAGACCTCTGTTCAAGCACTTCGAAATACATCGGATTCGAACCTACTTAAAGAATCACACCTTTTTTAATGCCTCCAGGCTCTCATCAGCTAGCTGTTTAGCCTCTTCAATTGACTTTTCGGGTAGCACAGGATCGGATGTATCCCTCTAAAAATCTATACATAAGACTTTATAATAGGTTGTGTGTCGGAATTCCATTGTTTCGGACTACAGTATCGTAAATGGAGATTAGTGTCTCCTCCTTGAATTTATTCAAACCCCAATCAATCACCTTCTCCTCTTCAACCACCATACCATGCTTGGTGAATGATACATAATCTAACTTTCGAGCGTGAAAAGTGCGTTGTTTATCATGATGCCACTTGGCGCTCTCACAATTTAGTTGGTACTGTAAAATCACATTACGGATATGAAGAACTCAGGAAATCAAAATGCACAACAAACCAAGTGTATGAAGTCAGCTGCTCGTTCGGACACAAAGCGGATACAGTCGACAAGATGATCTACCTGAATATACCCATGAAAGTGAAAATGAATCTTTCATGGACCCCACCTGCTCATCTGACCAGAAATAAGGAATGGACATCCTTGTGAATCCTGGTCTAAGCACTTCTTTACAGGAATGTTCTCCAACTCTTCGAAGATGCGTTCGATCTAGTGCTTCAGCCTCACGTAGTGAAGCCAGGTATTGCGCAGCTAGCTACATTATTTTCAAGTAAAATGGACGTTGATTCAATGCGATAAATAATTGAAATAAAATAGAACAGACGCTTAAAAAAGACGTGGAAGAAGTGAAGATGAAGTGGTCGATGAATGTGTACGCAGAGACGGACGTGGATACCGTTAAAATAATAAAGAGGCGAGTGGATAAATAGATGAGTAAAATGAATGAATGAAAAAATGTCTGAATGAATGAAATGGATGAAATGAATGAAAAGGATGAAACGAATGAAAAGAATGAAATGAATGAAATGAATGAATTTTTTACTGGGTGGATGACAAAGTCTAGAAGAAGCAGTGCCGGAAAAATATAAGATTGGGACGTGGTTTACACTCATAGATAAACGAGATATTTTTCGAAAATTTGAAAAGCTTCGTCGCTGCCGTCAAATCTTTTTTCAAAATTATGGAAGCCTGCAAGAACTCTTCGTTTTTTAGAGTTTTTAAAAAAGGAGGCTCAGGTCAAGCTTCCCCCCCCCCCTCATGCAAAACTTTTTCGTTGCATCCATTCTCGGATTCCTGGACAAGTATAGAGTGATGATTGAACAAAAGCAATTCTGACTGATTCTGACTTCTGAGTTTGCTCAGTACTCGAAAACGTACCTGCTCATCAATACCCAGTAAAAATTCTGCGTAAGGCCCAGCACACATGCATCCAGCACGGGACTGTACGCCGAATAAATCATTTAACAAAGCAGTGATGTAGTTATGATGGAAAAATAGTCCAGAAATGGGATCCTGGAAGCGCAGCTCAAAAAAGAGTAGGGATAGTGATTGACAGAAAAATACCTTCACAAGGAATGAAAAAACTGCAAGTCTATTCCTAACCGTCGGAGCTCCTAATAACACCACATTGTCGCATTTTTGCAAGCCTTCGAGGAATCTTCTGGAAAAATTCGTCAGCATATGACTGTAACTGCTAAGTTATGGCATTATTTTAACAAAAAGGTAATCATGGAAGAGGAAGAAACCTTACAGCTACTTACTGAGACTTATGCGCTTCCCTAGCAATTATAGTTTGTTCTCCGATTGCCCTCTTCAATTTTACAGCTAGCGCAAGTCGAATTATGCCCACACTGTCCGGAGTGCCACCTTCTTCACGATATTCGGCATCTTTTAAGTACCACTCTCCGGTCGGGGTCACCTAAAAACACCTCTTCATGTTTGAGGGCTCTTAAAAGTCCTAAAGAACTCACGAAAAACACCGTTCCTCCACCGATTCTCTTGGGTTTTGTAGCTCGTATCAAGGATTTTTTGACAACGAGTACTCCTGGAAGATCCATGAGGATCTGATTGAATACAGTACAGAGATAGCAAATATAAAAAATGATTTACCAGGGGTAGAAACGCCTCCAACAAACTTATGACCAGAGAAAAACACTGCGTCCAGCGGCTGTGTTCCATTTACGTTAATATCAACGTAAGGTGCAGCCGATGCGTAGTCCCATACAACTATCGCCTTATACCTAGAAAGACGTGTTTAAAAACTCATCAACAAAGGGAAAAAAAATGAGAAACAGACCTTTTGGCAATGGCAGTGATTTTCTGTACATCCTGGCATATTCCAGTGATATTTGAACAAGCGCTAAAAGCTGCTAAAATTTGGCAGTCTGGATAAGCTTTGCGAGATTTCTCCAGTACATGGACCAAGTCGCCTAGAAAAATTTTCGTGGATTTACTTGTTTCAACCCCTCAACGTTCAATTCACAGGAGAGAGCTGCCCACAGAATGATAGCAACTTGAGACTACAAATGGGGCCAGTTCTCGCAAGGGCATACTAGTTTGACGAGTACACACAAGAATTTTAGGGTCATTATAATGAGATACCAATATTTGCTGTTCCATCTACGGCTTCCTTCACAGAATAACAAGCTTTTGCAATCGACCGCCATGGTAGTAAGTTGGAGTGGTGCTCGTGGATGAAGTTGATGACGACCTGGGTACGAATTTGTAGCAGAGTATGTAGCTTTTTTCATGCTCTTGATGACATGAGAATGTCGTTTTAGTTATTTGTGTGAATATGATATTAGGTTGCCTTACAAGTTTACTTCATAGGTATGAGTTAGAGCAGATATGAAGAGGGCGAGATGGGGAGGGGGGGGGGGAGTCTATAACAGCGTTGCAACCTTCTTTTTCAATTTTCAAAATTCTCTCAATATCTATTTCACCTTCTAGATTTTTCATAGATTTTCGAAAGTAGCAGTGCTTAAAAAGAACATTTGGAGTTTTGAGCCCTTGATAACGCAAGCTAGAAGTTTGTCAATCCAAAAAATTTGTTAAAAAAATAAAAATTGGGTTTTCATGCGTGAAAAGCATTTATCAAAAAGTGCAGCTCATTTTCAAACATGCTAATTTCTTTGAAAAGTAAGAAGGATTTTCCCCCATCGAGTGCGATAAAGCTTAAGATTAATATGGGCTTCCGAAGACCTGGCACTAATCGTTCACAGAATCATTATCGTGGCTTGGACCAAAATTGTTGAGCTCCTGGTAAAGATGCTCAAACTCCCACACAAAATTCGTAGATAGATAGGTAGATATTTCTCCGCATTTGTGCTTCTTTAAATTTATATTTTCGAATGAGACTATTTTTTTTACTTTTTTCAAAGGAATTTCACAAAAAAAAAGATCTTCAAAGCAGCTTGTCTAGTCCACCAAATCACCTGGACCATAAGTTTTCATGGTCAAGAACTCGCCAAATCAGTAATCGAGGAGCTCTTAAAAAATTGGTTCTACGAATTTCAGTACTCAGATATTGAAAGCTTGCAAAACGCTCATCACTCTTGCAGCAATTTAATTTTATTACGGTAAAAACATATATGGAAACTAATCCATCGCTCTTCTATTCCTACTGTCGTACTGAAAAACTTCCCGAATTTTGCGCTTATTACCAGATCCAAATTCTCACAGTTTTTGAGCAGGCCGCTAGTATTCGAGCAATTACTTTTTACTCCAGGGCTTCTTCCTTAGTCTTTCAAATCCGAACACTCACCAGTTTTTCTGGCTGCAACAGGTGAATTAGCAATTCTACGGCAGCTGTGGTACCCGTTCCAATGAAAATCACGCTATCTCCGTCACCAGCACCAGTCATTGACCGAATTTCTTGTCTGCAACCAGCACTGTATATTTCTCTTGGGAATGAAGCCTCCATGATTAGAACAAAGCTTTAAGTGCGCACCCAATTCACAAGTCCCAACCGCCCGTAAAGCTATTCAATTCTGTTAGTCAGAAAAATGAGAGTGAAGTGGAAATTGTAAATGAAGGTAATCATTTTCGACTCTGCTTTGTTTATCTGCTATAGATTTGGGAAAACGTTATGAGCGTTGAAAGTGCAAACTCATGAAGAATCTGGGGTGATGTAGTCGCCAGAAAGCTGTCCAAGAATCACTAGGATTCATCTCGGTTCCAAACAATGGCGGAACGGAAAATGCGGTTTTCAAATTTTATAGAATCAAGAAGCTTCCTGGCACAGTTTTCCGCCAAGCCCTCCTTAAGCTTTAACGTCTCAAGCTTCTTCAGAATGAGAAGCAACCCAGGATCTATAAGCAATCCCTTTAACCGAAAACTCTTTTGTCGCTCCCGTTGCCCCCCCCCCCCCACCACTCTTACTTCAAATGCACTCTTACGATGACTTTTGTTGGATATTATTATGTTCGACAAAATTACAAATGAAGTAAGATTAAAAATCTATATGCACAATATTCTCAGAATTATTTGGCAGAATCGAAATGAGCTTTTGAAATGCATCTGGTTTTACACTTTTCACAAAGTGCCGCTACCACTGCATCCTCCTCGCCCTTTGAAAATCCTCATCCGGAAAGAATCAGTCATTTCATGTGACCGTTATGGGAAGCGAGTGTTAGACAGGGCTACCAGTAATAGGGCAAAGCAATTATTTAGACGCAAATAATGCTGCTACCGTCCTCACAAGCGTTTTGGGCATACCTCGCATTATGAACCAACAGGGTAGTCTGCTCAGATGTTACCGTCACTGTACTATGCGTATTTCCATATAGAGGGAGCACATTATCCCCAATATAATCCTCGATGGGACGAATAGCACGCCCCGAGGCTGTGTAGTCGCAGTAGATGGCTGAAATGAGAATTAAGTAATATATGAGAAGAAAAAAAAATAAAATTAAGAAGGAAGAGCGGGGAAGGGGGGGGGGAGGAGAAGAAGTCGCGCGCCTTCCTGAGAAGTGATTCACAATAACCATAAAATGATGCAATCAAATGGACTCTAACTGTAAATAATCAAAACTTTTTTGGAAATATTACTCAGGAAATTCAGGTCCACTGTAGAAATAATACTAAAGACCTTTTCCAAAACATTCTGAAAACCTGGTAAAAATCCAAAAGTATCCCAGAACATTTAAAAAAAACGCGATCGCGCCAACTTATTCGTTTCAGAAAACTTCCTTCTGTTGCATCTTGCCATCCCCAAAGTCATGGGTTTTTAAGATTCTCATCGCTATTTTAGTAACGATTGTCCAACGCACCTTGTCGTCTTCCAAAAGGCGTTTCTATAACAGCGTCTCCTCCAATTTCATTTTTTCTTATCCATGGCAGAAGTTCGGCGGAAGCGGGCGGAGACGCTGATGAAGCAAGTGCCTGGATTTGAGGCACTCGTTCACCGAAAAGTCGCTGCATCAACCACCACCAACAACCTAATTACCCAACTTCTTTCATTCATTCATTCATTTATTGCATAGTTATGGAGCTGGTGAAACGCTTCTTTGCTGGTGAAATCGATCCGAGAAGGAGATGGACGAGTAGAAATTTCTGTGAAATGACTCGATATGGAAGAGAAGATAGTCCTGCTCTTGAACGCTACTGTAATTCTGCTAATGTCATTCGCTACAGTTAACTGGAGATTGTTGAAAATGCGACAGGTATGCAGACCAGCTCTTACTTCACTTCAGTAAATTTTTACTTCTTCATTGGTAAATTGACACATTGAGCATTGGCAACATGCTCTTCAACGCTAGCTGGAAATTTGCCACGAATGATTCGAAAAAATTTCAAAATTCAAAATACTCTCAAACTCCAAAATTGCCTTTGTATTAGTGCTGACGCTCCCAAAAGTTCGCAAAAAATATTTGAAAAGTGATGGAAAAGAAGGGTAACACATTGACGACAATACGACCCACCGGTGGGTCGTAAGTTTTCGAAAGCTCTAACTTTGCCAGCATGCGATGGAATTCTACGGTATTCTGGCACATTATAGGGGACACCCTGACGAAGCTCTAGCCGGAGTGGTCCGGGTCCGGGATACTGTAATGTAATGTTACGGTAGGTATACCGTAGATAGAGATAAGGCACAGATTTTAGCTCGAATTTCTCGCAGAGTGGTGCTGTTTTCGACAATTCAAGTTTACATGCACAAGAAATACAGGGAGAGCATGAGACTGATGTCAGCCCATCAAAAATTATCGATTTTATTGATTTTATTGATTTTTCGCATTGTTCATCCCAGGAAGCTCAAACCTTGCATATATAGATTTTTTAGCATGCTGATTACGAAAATGATAGTCTCAAGTTCTATTACCGCCTCCTTACATCAGTTTCTTGATTCTTAAAAAATTCTACCGTACTGCTACCGTAGTCCCACTATGGGAAAGTAGTGAACAAAGTGGACACTGCAATCGTGATCAGCACGTGAAATAACCCCAAAACACAATTTTTCACGAAAATCCGTGATGTTAAGTTCGTACAGAGTGACTACCGTAATCTTAATACTGCCAAAAACTGAAACAAATCATATTTTGATAATCAGCGCCTTCGATAACCCTTGTGGGGATATTCTCAGAGACATGTTTTGAATTTCTTACAAAAGACTACCATTTCGGACAATACGACCCACGGGTGGGTCGTAAGTTTGGCAGTGCAAAAAAGGCTCCTGTCCGAAATGGCAGTAATCGAAAAATCGGCCTTGTCGTCAATGTGTTAGGGGAAATGAGTTGAGGAGAAGAAAATCAAAGTCGAAGTGCCGTTACAGAACTGCCCTCGTATTTACTGTATGTGCCCTTCGTAAAAATAAGCTAGGTGGAGGACCTTCGTGTTTTTCTAGTTAAGCCAGAAATAAGACTTTTCCGGTTTCTTGAGTTTTCCGGAGGAACGAAGAAAGGATAACAAAATTCATGTTACTAAAGGAATAGCGGCATGATGTAAACTGTTTTCTCGAAATGTTAAGCATCAAGTCATTACAACAAAGGAGTTTCACCTTGTCATTCTATGAAAATAAACACTCCTCCACTCTCGAAAGCATTGGGAATGTGGTTAGACTTGTTTACGTACAATCCCCCGTTCCCATGAATAAATTTACCACCGAAAGTGTCGCAAAATCGAACATGACTGCAGGAACCTTGCAAAAAATGCGAGAATTCCGTGAGAGATGCAATCTAAACGTATTGTTGAGACCGTAGAAAGCAGCCTAATCTCCTTTTGTCGCGGCTCGCGCGATGCAAGCCTCTCCTCGATTCAGATGCCGGGAGCACGGCATGCCGCCGAATCGGGCGCGCTTTTACATTCGCGCCCGGACGTCTCCTTGCTTAGGCGCGCTGCCAAGTCGAGGGGTATATAAGGCCGCGCAGCGCGAGGGGTGGGGGAACGAAAGCCGCCAGGTCCAGCCGCCTTTCGCGGCCAGCTGGTCCCTTCGCAGCGTTGTTGCATGTCGTTCCAGGACCAGCAGTCCGCGGAGGCGGCTGGACCTGGCGGCTTTCGTTCCCCCACCTCAGCGCGAGCCATATGCCTCTTTGATTTTCGGTGACCTCGTTTTCAAATTCGGATTTCTCTTGTACTCTTATCGATCGTGCTTGGCAGCTACCCCAGCAAGCTCCCGTGGATGAAGTCTTGCGAGCAGAGTGATTTTTAGAGCTTTTGGATCATGTCACGCTACGCGCGAGGAAAGTTAGAACTTTGATTCATGTTTGAACCGGGAGTGGAGAGGGTCGTACCTTTCCTACGCGGAGGCGAGAGTAAGCGGTCGACCCTTGTGGATTTCTCTGACATCGCGTGTTGGAATTAGGTTGCTGATCATCGGTGGCTTGGGACGAGGCGAACTCGTCCCGTATATTGTTTTCTCTTTAGATTTTAGGTAGTTTCTAGCTTAGCTTTTTGTGTAGTGTAGTTTGTGATTATTTAGATAAATGTTAGTAATCTAGTCGCGCTTTTTGTGCTATAATTTATTGCCACTAAGCGGGGTAGTGTTAGACGCGCCGGAATGGCCAACCGGCGCTAAGTTCTGTAGGCACTAGGTGCAGGGTTGTGCAGGCAGTCGAGCGAGGCAAGGGGATACTGAGCCCACCGAGCCGCAACACCTTTCTATAGCGTCGTAGATATTAGAAAATGAATCATGCAGCTTTGAAAGAATAAAAACAAGTGACTTTTGATTTTGTCGAGTATGTACTGTGAAAGTACGTGAATTGAAGAAGATAGAAGTACTTCTAGTAATTCAATTTTATATAAAGTATAGTTTTCAAGAAACAAATACCTCAAGCCAAGTAGCCTTATGTTTTCATGTTCTTTTACAACCCTATTCATTTTGCTTTTCCTCTCAAACTCTAAACAGCCATTATGTCTATTGCTTTTGACTTCAGAACGAGAAGCTTATTCAATAGACAAGATTGTTTTTGTGTTTCAAATTGAAACTTACTCAACATGAATATAGTAAATTTTATCACTATTTTAGACTCCCAGCATGTCTCGTTCTGGGAGATCAAAGATAAACATACAGTGCTGGCCAAAAGATTGCAGCCAATCTGAAATTTTGCTGTATTCTACTTTCTTTTGCATGAAATGAATACAAATTTGGACATTACGTGCAAATCACACCGCTTGAGACTATATCAAGAAAGCAGTTTTATGCACACAGAAGGGAGCTCCGGGAAAGTTGGCGAAAACCGTAAAATCGAGGTTGGTAAAACCGCAGCCACTTTCTGTTGAACGTCTTCGAAATTATAGATGCACCCCTAAGCCTTGAGATATCCAGTGCAACCGGCATTCATCAAACTTCCAAAATGGAGATTTTAGGAGCAAAATTGCTTGAACGTCAAATGACCGCAAAAATTGCACAAATCGTTAGTTTGTCGAAGAGTAGTCGGCTGATCTGTACGTTAATAGAAAGATCGCACCATCTGGACGTTCAGAGGCTTGCGCCCCTGAACGAGCGGCTTGCGGCTTGCGTACACAGCAGAAAAAAACATTACTTGGCATGTTTCAAAGTCTACCATCATCTTAACACGGACTCGGAGCACTTTTCAGCTCAAAAATTAGGCTCAGCTGTCTAAAAAGTACTCAAATTTGATGAGAAGCTTTACTGGAAACATAAAGGCGTTACTGTTACGGAAATTTTGCGCGAATTTCATCGTGACCTATAATAACGGGCTAAAGGTGTTTATGTGACTTTGTGTGTGTGTGTGTGTGTGTGTGTGTGTGTGTGTGTGTGTGTGTGTGTGTGTGTGTGTGTGTGTGTGTGTGTGTGTGTGTGTGTGTGTGTGTGTGTGTGTGTGTGTGTGTGTGTGTGTGTGTGTGTGTGTGTGTGTGTGTGTGTGTGTGTGTGTGTGTGTGTGTGTGTGTGTGTGTGTGTGTGTGTGTGTGTGTGTGTGTGTGTGTGTGTGTGTGTGTGTGTGTGTGTCACGAAATTCATAGCGCGAGTTCCAGCCACGTTCTGAGCCCATTTTGCATGGCGCATGCTCCTTCATGAAAGTCCAACATGCAAAAGCACGAGTAGATTCGTTGAGTAGATCCCTCAGAAATTGCGCGCCAAACGGGTCCAGCTGGCTTCTGTACCGCAAAATTCGGTCCGTATCACCACTTTTTGCAGAGTCGTGGATGAGTTTGGTAAGCAAATGTGCAAGCGATGGAGTTTAGCCAGAAAAATGGTCGAAAGTTTACTACATAACGAAAACGGCGCCAAAACGAATTGGTGTTTTCATCAAATCTGAGAACTTTTTAGACCGCTGAGCGCAATTTTTGAACTGAAAAGTGCTCCGAGTTTGAGTTAAGATGACAATAGATTTTGAAACATGCCAAGTAATGTTTTTTCTGCTGCGTTCGCAAGCCGCCACTGAACGTCCAGATGGTACGATCTTTCTGTTAACGTAGAGACCAGCCGATTACTTTTCAACAAATTAACGATTTGTGCAGTTTTTGCGGTCATTTGACGTTCAAGTACTTTTGCTCCGTAAAATCTCCTTTTTTGGATTTGATGAATGCCGGTTGCACTGGATATCTCAAGGCTTAGGGGTGCATCTATAACCCAAATACTGGAGAGTGACAGGTCTTTCAAAGACGTTTAGCGGAAAGTGGCTTCAAGTTTTGACCAATCTCGATTTTAGGGTTCCGCCAACTTCCCCGGAGCTCCCTGGTGTGCATGAAACTGCATGATTTTTCAATATAGTCTCAAGCAGTTTGATTTGCACGTAATGTCCAAATTTGGATTCGTTCAAAACAGAGTAGGATATAGCAAAATTTCAAAGTGGCTGCAAACTTTTGGCCAGCACTGTATATAAAGTAGTATGCTACAGAATCGTGCATTATGAAGTTATGTATGTAGTTTATTAGGTTGTAAACAACGTTATCAGGCAACTACAGGAAGTCTCAAATTACTGTAAAAAAGTATATTCATCTTTTTTGAAAGTCACAAAGCC